AGAACACATTACGCTAGGCGCAATCAAGGGAAGAATTAAGAAGATTAACCAGCAATGGGATGAATATCGAGACAATCATAAGAAATTGCTAACTCTTGAGGTGAAACGCGAAGAGTTCCTCTATTTTAGGCAAAATCTAATGAAGGCAGTGGATGAATCCTATGCCAAACAGATAGGTGTGTTACTTGATTTAGAAATCGCGGCTACTCCTATGCAAGCACCTTCCCAAGCACTCAATTTTCCACCGGAATTGATTGAACTTCTTCAAGCCTTACGTGTGCAACCACACACCCAACCTCCTGTACAGCCTGTTGTGCAACTTCAGAGTCAATTGCCTCGCATAAATTTGCCAAAATTTGATGGCAATTACACCCATTGGCCACAATTTCGAGATATTTTCACGTCTCTTGTTGGGTCAAAACGTAACCTACCACCGGTAGAAAAATTCCATCACCTAAAAACCAGTTTAGAAAAGGAAGCCCTTCAATTGATCAATAATTTAGCAATAACAGACGACAACTATCAAATAGCTTGGGATAAACTGAAAAACAAATATGAAAACAAACGTTTGCTAGTGAACGCACACCTTGCATCCCTCGATGTGATTCTTCCTGCGAAGTCCGAGTCAGCGACTGAACTCAAACGTAAAAAGTCAAGATTATTTATATTGAATATCTTTTTGTTTAACAGAACGTTTTATTTTATTTTTTTATTTTTATGGAAAAAGTTCATGTTAACAAACTTGATGGTTGCGTCGCTATGTGTGGCCAGTGCTTCCATTGGTATTTTCGGTCGCCTGTGTGCATAACTGAGTGCATCTTGAGTGATGGTTTATGTGCGGTCGTCATAACGATAGGTACATATAAAACTAGACGTTGATCTCAAATTTGTTGTGCTATTCACCATCTAGTGGTGGTCCGCAATCAGTATATAGAATGTATATTTAGGTAGGGACGTAGAATGTGGAGGACGTCCAAAAGACGGTCTGTGAAAGGTCGTCCGAACGATAGTGTGATATATATACAGGGTGACAATTTGAAAACTTACCACCCCCCATATCTTAGTAAATAAACGAGATATTTAAAAAAATCAAAATCCGTTTCGGTAATTCGGAGGGGGAATCACAATGACATAGTTGGCGACGCACCCCCTCCACCCCCTGCGCCCCAGCCACCCCAACTTTTAAATCTTAAATAGTGACCCCCCATGTGTGATACGTCGTTGGAAAGCTCTGAAAAAATGCTTTCCAACCATACCAAATAGCATTACATTTAGGTTAGTAATTATCGTGCAAATCAAAAAATAAACATGGAAAATCGTATTTAACTTGAACTTCCAAAGCCGACTCGACAGCAACTCATTTTTGATCGCCAGTTATAATCTATTCTCAAACTCTTGTCGAACCTTTTCAAATGTTGGTTTTGCAATATTTCGACATTCTTGAATTATTCTCTGTTTTACTTCGTCTATGTTCGCCGGTTGCGTTTTAAATACGACAGATTTCAAATGTATCATATTAGTTTATTTTTTGATTACTTGATTGGCCAATTTATAATATGGCTAAAAGTAGTAGCCATATTACAAAATAAATTAAACTAGATGATTATTTTACAATGTGGCCGCGTTTTATAAAGTGGCGTTTTTACCATGGCTAGCCGTTTTATAAACGGGCGAAATTTACAATGTGGGGCTCGACACACCCACACACACACCCTCACACCCCTCACACACACCCTCATCCCTCTCACACACACACACACACACACACACACACATATATATATATATATATATATATAATCTTGGTGTATTGCCAATGTCCCGTACAATTGGGCATAATAATCATGACATAGACGAGAATGTCTTGACTGTTGGTTAAGTGTTATAATATACAGGGTTTTTTGAAATTCACGCACACGAACTGTGGGATGGTGCTTTACAACGAAAACTGAATAAAAACTTCCTCTACCAGTTTTTGATCAGACCTGCACTTTTCGAGTTGTCGTTCGAAAAATCTGAAAATGAAAAAGCCGGAAAACAAAAGATAGTTCAATAGTATATTAAGATACAAGTGTATAATCAAGTCTTTAAAGCACGCGCAACGAGTTTAAGGGCACGACGCAAAGCGGAGTGCCTTTAACGTTGCAAGTGCTTTAAGGACTAATTATACACGTGTATCTTATAGTATTTTTTATTATACCTGCAATATAATTTAAAAATAGGAAATACAATGAAGTCATATTGACGTTATACTCGAATACATGTCTAATTAAGTGGGCTGGGTGTTCGTATTTCACGATTGCCATGGAAATGTCACTTGACGTTTGCTTATAAAAATCATCGTCTTTGTGAATTAAACGATTTCCGTTGAAAAAGATAATACACCGTCCATTAAATCGATTGTTGTAAAATCTAAACAAACGTTAGTAGGTGTAAAATCCAACTCCAGTAAAGCCTATTATAAAGAATATGAAAAGTTGTTTCCATGGATGAATAGGAAGTTACTTACGAATACATTCTTAAATGCATCCATAATGCTGGCATATATGAAGGAAATGTCAAAGGTATTTAAATCTTCTATATTTTGGTGCATTCATTCAAAACTTTAAAACAATGCTGCGATTAAAAAGTGGAACAGATTTGGAAGCATACCCTAAATTACGCGCGTTTGTGAAAGCTTCAACCAAAAGATAGGTACAAAAGCCAAAGAAATGTTCTGCATTTACAGAAAGCGACCTAAGAGTATTTTTTATTTCATCCAGATGACAGTTTCAAAAGTCATACTTGAAGTATCGTTACTTAGCAACTTTAAAGCACGTGTGTTTTAAAGGCCCTTTTTCGCACGCATTTGAGTGTTTAAAACGGAAATTGTGATTCAGGTATAATAAAAAATAATTTATTGTAATTCTCGTACAATTCAAATTGCGAAATAATGGCCGGTAATTATTCAAATCGAGAATATTACGATATGCTGATGGCACTTGGGGCTGCGACATCCTTTGCGGCGGCTACCAGATGCTAACGTTTTTAGAAGATTAGAAGACCGAATTCTGTTCAACGGTAATGTTGCGCTGCCACAACGTGTTTTTAAAATGTATGGGACGGAGATTTTTAAAACCGCGGTAGCTCGAAAAATAGCGGTCTGATGGAAAACTGGTAGAGGAACTTTTTGTTCAGTTTTTGTCGTATAACACCACCCGTGCGCGAATTTCGAAACACCCTGTATACATTGTCTTTTTTAAGTTCTTCGAATAAATCCTTATCCCTAAATTTGTATGGACGTTTCACTTCGATGATGGGGGCGGGGCATCAACGTCCAGCAGTCCATCAGGAGGACTCTCTTCTAAAAATGCGCAAGAGTGAACACAAAGCCCTGTGGAAAAGACTTTCCGATTATATACCTCACAAAATTCATTTTTCTATTTCGGTGTTACAATGAGAATTTTGTGCAACTGTTTTCGGCAAAAACAGTGTTTCAATGAGTTCCATTGTAACATTGTTTTTGGTAACTTTTCATCTCTAAGTTGGCAGTTCGCCAAGACGTCAATGTCAAATCATACGATGTGAAATCAAATTACGTGAAATTTATGTGTTTTCCTTGATTTTTGGTACACGAAGAACTTAATACATTACAAATCAGCAGTTTACACATCCACCATAAATAAATTTATCTACGAATAAAAAATTACACATTCACGGAATGTAAAGTTTCCAAATGTCTGTGTTGTGTTTATCTGCGCTGCCAACTTAAAATTTGTCAACGTAAATGGTGTTGCCAACTTAAGACATATTAATTCCAAAGTTTCCTGTAGTTTTTCATAATTACTTTTTAATTAAATTAAAACCCCGAAATAGAAAAAATAGTATGAAAAACACGTATTACAATGCTTTATTGTAATACGACTATCTTGTGGCACGGGTGGCGTAGCGAAGCGGAGCCACGAGTGTCCACAAGATAGTCGTATTACAATAGGTCGCATTGTAACACTTGTATTTCAATATACTATTATCGCTTCATGATTTTTGCCCTATTGAATGGACTTTACACGTTCCAAGTTGTATGATTCTAAAAATACAAGACGAATAGTAAAGTTTATCACAAAAAGTAGTCGTTTATATATGTTAAGCGTCTAAATAGACAGAAATTTACCACCCCGCTGCCCTTTTAATAGGCCTTTGAAATGGATCCATACTTTTTGTCAAGCGATTTTCCGTGCTGTACGTCAACTTGCATTTGCTGATTGCCCTGTTGTAGCCCGTACAATGATGTAAAATTTTATAATTTAACTACTTTAACGGTATAAAATCGTTTTCGCATGCTCACAAAGACGTTACCATTTATACATGATAATTCGGCATTAAATTGGTATCTTTTAATCCGATTGGACTTAACCGACTGTTCTTCCGTACTAAACAGAGTAGCTCTTTCTGTAAAAACTCTGCAATAGCTCCTAATAGTAAATAATAATAATAATAATATATTTTATTTCCCATCTAACAGCAGAGCCTAATTACAGATGAGAAAGTGAATAAATGTAAATATAAATAATGTAAATAAATCTAGTATACAAGTATCACAGAAAACAGATAGAGATATCGCGCACGTTGCAGTTGAAGATATCAACATGTCGATTAACCGATTCAAGACAAGCACACATACGCGATATCAGTGACGTACACAAGGATTGTTTATAAACAAACAGGTTGTTCCTCCTGAGATGTTTTTGAGGCACATGAAAACCAATGCGCGCCAAAAGTGCAGGCGAGTCAATTTTGTTAATGATCAAGTTGTAAATAAACCTGGCTTGATGAAATTCCCTACGACGTTCAAGAGCTCCAATATCACCCTCGAGAAGCAGAGAGCCATAATCTACACCTCTCTCTGGGAATGCACCGTGGCGTAAATATAGTAAATATTTGAGGTAACGTCTTTGAATGTTTTCAAGTTTAATTTTGTAGGTGATGTAAATTGGCGACCAAACCACAGAAGTATACTCAAGTTTAGTGCGTACGAGTGTATTATATAGTGTCTTCAGAGCATCTTCAGATTTCAGCTCTCTTGAATTCCTAAAAATAAAGCCTAAGAGCTTTAACGCCTCAGAACAAATGGTGGTAATGTGGGTATTAAAGTTCAGTTTAGAATCAAACGTTACGCCAAGGTCCTTAATCATCACACAACGTTTAAGCGAACAATTATTTATAACATAATTATGCAATTGCGTAACCTGCTTACGAGAGAACGACATCACACTACACTTATCCACATTAAGATTTAATTTGTTAGACAGCGACCAATTGACGAGTAAGTTTAACTTATACTGCACATCACGTGCATCACTCAAAGTCTCAATTTTATTAAATATTTTTATGTCATCCGCATAACCAAGGGCACAATCACCAAGGGATGAAAGTATATCATTACAAAATATAATAAACAAGAGTGGGCCGAGGTTTGACCCCTGTGGCACTCCCGAGGACACTTTGTAATAATCCGATTTGAAGTTCTTATAACATACACATTGACGACGATCAGTAAGGTAAGAACTTAATCACAGAACAAATGTTTTACTAAGATTAAAGTTTTTCAGCTTATTTATGAGTAACCTATGACAAACGTTGTCAAACGCCTTGGAGAAGTCGGTGTAAATGACGCCCACTTGAGATACAGAACCAAAAGCATCCATTATGAACTCAGTGAAGCAAGTCAAGTTGGTTACAGTCGAGCGACCCTGAAGAAATCCATGCTGGTTGCTTGAGAAATAATCTTTACATTGACCAAACAAGATGTTATATACACATGACTCGAGTACTTTAGCAAAGTTACTGAGTATAGAGATAGGTCTATAGTTTTGAATCACTGATTTATCACCCTTTTTAAAAATTGGTAGCACCTGCGCCGTTTTCCATCTGGTGGGAAATACATGGGACGATATGGATAAATTAAAAATGCGCGCCAGAGGCTGCGCTAGGCAATATTTGCAGTCCCTCACTAGGAAGCTCGGAATGCTATCTTCACCACTTATGAAAGTTGTCGGGAGTTTACCACACACAGTTAAAACATCCTCTACAGTTATCCATTCAGAGAGAAAAATTTTATCACCTTTATGAAGTTTATCTGGGTCAACGGAGTCCACAGCAAAGCTGTTAGCGAAGTAAGATGCGAATGCATTGACAATCCTTGCAGGATCATCCAACTTTTCGTTGTCGACACCAATCATGACGCTAGGTATCCGCGAATCGCCACGACGGGATTGTACAAACTTCCAAAAATTTTTGGGATCAGTAGAGATTGATTCTCCGGTGCTCTTCAAATAAGCATAATACGCCTTTATTGACTCCTTTTTCACTTCACGCCTTAAGTATTGATAGTTAGCGTAATCAAGACTGTCACCAGTTAATCTCCATTTTTTTAATAACCGCCGTTTACGACGTTCCAGCGACTTCAGATGTTTATTAAACCAGGAAGGGTGTCGATTGGTATTAGCTGGGACCGTCCGCGGGACGGATACATTCATAGCCTGGGCCAGCCTGTAAAACAAAAATTTAAAAATCCACATTAAAACCACCTATACACATAAGCTTTTCAATGTTTAGGTACTTAGTTTTTTTCAATATACAGTTTGGTTGGTTTTACGCATGTTCGTTTATGCTATATAACAAGTAACATAAATACAGGATGTTACATATGAATGAGTATGTAAAAAAAATAAGTGGCAGAGGAGATCAAAACAATCACTTTCGTTTGAAACGTGAAATTTGCATTTCTTCTTTAATTCTTTTCTCAGCTACCATAAGAGAAATACTGGTGGCCCGTCTTTAAATAGATTTGGGGTAGGTCTTTTCCGATTTTGCAAAATTTTTTTCAAAATCCTACTACGAAAGAGCACATCCCTAAACGGGGGTGCGAAAAAAATTCTGATTTCGACGAAATTTGGTATTTGAGGGTTTTTGAACATGAAAATCACGAAACTGAAATTAGTTTTGAAAATTCGAAAAAAAAAACTCCACTGCAAAATGAAAAGAAATCCACGAAATTTGTTGTGCACATACTTGAGTTAAGGAACAGAATTGTCGAACAGTTAAAATAACTTTTCACAAAAGTTATACTCGTTTGAAGATTGGCCCGTCGGGTCAGAAAGTGTCCCCCGTCTACTAGTGGTTCATCTAATTTTGCATGTAGTTAGTTGAAAACGTCGCATAACAACAAAAATTGACGATATAAGTCGATATTGTGATATTTGGAACAATGCTTATTTATTGTAATGGAACTCTACTTAAATAACATTCCCCGCAGTCACGCCACAATCTACATCTTGGAATTTGTAGATTTCGAATAGTGAATTTTTTAATATCATTTCATCATAATATCGACTGAAATCGTTACCAGTCGTTACGTCCTCGAATATCAACATCATTTATCCTATTTCTTATTTGCAGCAAACCATCAACGACTTTGTCAACGCCAATCAAAATGTGAGGCAACCTCCTTCAAAACTCCTTCCGTCTCTGGCAACAACTTGACTAGAACCCTCTATTTAATTTTATCTTTAAATCGAATTGTGTCGAGTGAAATACAACCACTTATTGTTTGACTATCACCATTTACTGTTATTGTGTTTTTTTTTTTTTAACTAGGCACTGTACATTGCATCGAAATTTTTAGCAACAACAGTATCAAGCACGTTTTGACCATGGCGGTTGGCAACCAAGCACCACATATCTTTCTCAAGATACGCTTGTATTTTTTATAGATTTCATCATATTGGGACAATTGAAAGGTTAAAGGGTATCATTTAATTTTACCTTTAAATCGAATTGTGTCGAGTGAAATACAACCACTTATTGTTTGACTTTCACCATTTACTTTTATTGTGTGTTTTTTTTTTCATAACTAGACTCTGTACATTTCATCGAAATTTTTAGCAACAACAGTATCGAGCACGTTTTGACCATGGCGGTTGGAAACCTTGCACCACATATCTTTCTCACGATACGCTGTTTTTTATAGATTTCATCATATTGGGACAATTTAAAGGGTGTCGAATATCTTGAGATTGTATGAAACTGAATTCAGACAATTGAAAGGGAGGAATACACAGTGTTTGTTAAATTGAAATTTTTCAAAACTTCGACAGTTCTGGTAGCTGGCTCGAGCTACAACTTTCTTTTTCTACTAATATATTGCACTGGTTGCTTGGTGGGTGGGTTGATGAAAGAAGACGGCAGGACAGTGGACTTTATTTTTGCATACGAGTTTTTTACATAAACTAAAATGGGTAACAATTAAATGTAGCTAGGATAATTCATACCTAAACCAGACGCTGGCGTCGAATAATTAACAATTATTTTGTCCAAAACCATAAGGCTTTAGAGTAAGTAAATTTCCTCTTAATTGTGCTTAAAGTTGCAATATTAAATGCGAGATAAAATGCCAATTTCCCTTTCCTCTCACTTAACCAGCGCCTGCTTTCCTATATTTTAGTGATTATTTTAGTTTAGAAGCTCTCTTTTTTGTTTTATATTCTATTTAATAAACCTCTATTATTATTATTGTTATTACGATTGAGGATCGTTATAAATAGATATGTATATATACTAAATATGTACATGTATTTACCAACAATCAAAGTACCGTATAGGTACATATAAAATTTCAAAAGGACCCTGTACCTGTTCAGTGTTCGCATATACCTACTTATTACAAATATAGTTATAAGTACGAAAAATGCACGTTTTCGAGACGAAGAAGGGTGTTCCGAGTCACGAAAACGCATTTTTCGTACGAATGAGACATTTTTTCTCCAACTCCTTCTTTACTTACCCAGTGTGTTTGCGCACGCTCTTGTAGTTGCCGTTTGTCGACCACTGGTTAATCTATTGGGTGCCACTCTTAATATTTTTTAGGTTAGTTAGCCTCCTTAATAGATGAAAGTAAACATGAAGTAAATATCTTAGAACAATTCAGTATGAACACGAAACAACTTATTTTTACTTAATAAGCGACAAGACATACAATCAAGTAAGTAGCATAAACGGGTATATTTTATTAACCTACGATTCTCTTAAGTCTTCGATGACAAGTTTAGTTTCGAAATTTACTGGTATAAGTACACGAAGCATTAGAGTGCATAGAATTAGGTCTAGGATGCTGAGCATCTCTTATGTACTGTGAAGTCTTAGTTTTTCCTATGTTTGAAGAAATGTTTACTTTGATTCAAAATTTAATTTGAATTGAACTGCTACTCCTACATGTTAACTGCGAACATGTTACCGAAGCTGTAATTTTCAATTCCATATTCCAATTCCAAAACACGAAAACGATTACCGTAAAATGGGGTGCAGCGGATCAAAATAATTGGTTTATATGCATTTTGGACATTCAGTTCAAATCTAAAATTCTCCAAAAAAATTATATAGCTTGGGTGAAGTGTCGTTCTTTAGTCTATGCAAAACTGATATCACCGGTTATCAGTAAGTATTTTTTTTCAAACTTTTTTCCTGATCCGTTTCACCCCAACCTTTGGCGCCTATTTTATATCACTGAAAATCAGTTCAACCTTAATAAGGAGTGAAGCGGATCAATAAAACAATTTTTAAAAAATTTTTTTATGTACATAAACACCCATTTAAACGTTTAAACAACAACATAACGATATCACCTCTAAGAATACAAACATAAAAGTCAGTGTGCGTGTGCGTGTGTGTGCGCGTGCGTGCATGTGTATATATATATATATATTATATATATATTATATTATATATATATATATATATATATATATATATATATATATATGTAGTCTCGTTACTACGAGCCTACGGATGCCGTTAATACAGAGTCCTACTGCATGGGATTTTGTTATAGCCTCACAGTAACCGTTTTACAGATACACCTCAAATAAGCTCATAAAAGCGACCATATAGCTGAAAGTGAGTATCCTTGTAGTAAATGATATACATAAAGTAAATGATTTATATATTTATGTGCTTGCCCTAGATAAGAGGGAAACAGCTAGAATAACCGACTACGTAATATTTCAATTTTAAAATCTCAAGGCATCGGTAATTTTACTGCAGTAGTTTGAGTTTAATTATTTGTTGTTTTTCACCGCTGTCTGACAGAATCATGGGCAAATTCTAAGCATAAAGCACCTACGCATACTATGTTATCCAAACATTTCGAAAACTATAATCATCCGGATCATCCCAACGGATACCAAGGCCTCTTGCCATGTTAAAATTTATGTGAGCGTTTTACAATTGTCAAATTAGTTACATTTTTCTGTGCCGAATCGCCGAAGTATTCAATAACTTGATTATGTTAAATCAGTTCGAAAAGTAGGAATAAGTGCCTAGAAAAATAGTCGTCCAATTTCCTTTCACTGCAAAATCTTGCAGGCGGCGACCAGCAGAAAAGGTGATGCCTCACATGGGTCCGGGACGGAGTATTCCCTTAAAAAATATATTTTAGCTAGTTTGTGTTGATTATTTTAGAGTTGAGTTGTTAAACGACAGTATGCTTTTTCCCAGTCACTCGATTGCTCGCGGGAATGCCCTTTTGACATCTACATTGGTTATGAACCAAATTGCATGAAATTCAAAATGATATCTATTTCTTATTAAAAATTACTTACATTATTACTTGATTTTTGACCACGTGATGTTTCTCAGTGATGTTTCTACCAACGACTTTGTCACATTTTTAATCTGCTAACCAATGATATGGACTTCCAAGGGAAGAAACCTATAGTTAATAGTTTTATTAAACGAAATTACGAAACGAAATTTAACCGAATCTCATTTATATAACATACTAGTACAAAACAGAAATCGTTACTCGTCCATTTCAACAAATTCAGATTTCCTATATTGTTGATCCTGATAATATTTGGGTGCTACACAGACAGAGCTGTGTAGTGCTTTGAGAAACGGTGGTTGCAAAAGAGTTTCAATTACTTTTACTGCTTAGAGCACTGCGCTTCAAATACTTTTCAAATTTAGAGGAAAATGCTTGGATTACCAAGCACTTCTAAAGAGCTTAAGCATTTCAAAAGGGCTTCAAGCACTTACACATAGCTTCAAGCAATTCCACGTAGCTTCAAGCA